TATACACACACCAACATATACAGACACACACACACACACATGCTTAGTCTCCTGTCAATCTCCTTGACAGAATTCCAGGCTTATACATGAATCTTGGTAGAAAAGTATCACATCATCCTTTTGTTAAGTATAATTAAATAATAAGAATTATGAACCGAGGGTAAAGTGTTTAAAATTATTATGAAATGTCTTTTTTAACAGGTTAGCAAGCTCCTTCCACTTTTGTGTTTCTTTTTTGTATGTTTCTTCTGGCTTTCAATAATTTGGTCTTTGCACTCTTTGATTTCTACACAATTAATACCGCGTTCTCTGTACCTTTCTCTGCTGCCTTTCAATATTCCCAATCATGCAGGGATCTGTGAGTACGAGAACCCTTAGAAATCAGGACGGGTGGAAACAGGGGAGCGGCTGGCATGGCGTCAGGAATTTTCATGAACGTACAGGAGGAGGTGACCTGCCCCATTTGCCTGGAGCTTCTGACAGAACCCTGGAGCCTTCACTGTGGCCACACGTTCTGCCAAGCCTGCATCACTGCGAACAACAAGGAGTCCAAGACTGGCACAGAAGGGGAGAGCAGCTGCCCTGTGTGCCGACTCAGTTACAGGCCTGAGAACCTGCGGCCTAACCAGCTTGTGGCCAACATAGTGGAGAGGCTCAGGGAGGTCAGGCTGAGCCCGGAGGTGGAGCAAAAGGGAAATCTCTGTGCGCGCCACGGAGAGAAACTCCTGCTCTTCTGTATGGAGGATGAGAAGGTCATTTGCTGGCTTTGCGAGCGGTCCCAGGAGCACCGTGGTCACCGCACGTTCCTCTTGGAGGAGGTCGCCCAGGAGTACCAGGTGCGAGCCCAGAATGGAGGGAAGACGGGGCAGAAAACGGTACTTGAGGGGAAATCTCCCCTTGGCAATGGGCCTTATTTACCTGGTCACCACAGACCCAAAGCCCGTGGCCGCTTCTCTTCCAGCGCGTACCTTCTGATGTCAATGGACATGTCTGTGTATTCCGCCCGATTACAACATAATAACCCTGCACACAGCCTTTCAGGTAGAAGTAGATACTTACGCACTTTGTGCTGGATGGTGGGGACCTGGTGCCAGAGAGAAGCTCTCATTATCACTCCAGATAAGAGGCTAACTGGGACACTGGGTGAGCTAAGGTGAAAGTCGTTCCCTTGCTATAGGATCCGGGTTCTTCTAGGACAAAGAGAATCAGTCCTCTGTCGGTGAGATGTTGGGTCTTCTATCTCTTGAGTCTTAAAGAACACATTCACTACTTCATGGTTTTTCCCAAGTCATAGATTCTAATTGCTCATTTCTATGGATTCCAGTGTCTGGAAACCCGACCATTTCTCCCCCATTTATCCTCTGCAGTGATGCTGAGCAAGCCCAGAGCTTGACTCTGGTGTGCTTCTTTTCTCACAGGGGAAACTCCAGGCAATTCTGAAGAGGCTGAGGGAGGAGCAGCAGAAAGCTGAGAACTTTGAGACGGAAGTCAGAGAAGAGATCACTACCTGGAAGGTAGGTGGGGACACTTCCTGAGGGAGTTAGACAGGTATCTGGGCAGGACCTTGATGTTAGTCTCAAGGAGATACCTTCCTCTTTGTTCCCTGACAGTCAAGTCGTTTCATTGGTCCCTTTGTTCATCCTTCCCCTGATAGGGCTGAGGGCTGAGAAGTGCACGTACCCCCAGTGAACACAGCCACTCCAAGGGACGTATTCGTGCACAGGGGCTCTCTGCTGAGGATGACACGTGAATTTCACGTTCCCTTCCTGTCAAATGGCAGTGGCGGATGGTTCTGTCCTCAGTGTTCCACTTTTGGCAGAGGTTTGTGGGAGGGGGTCGGGAGCAATGCAGGGAGGCACGAGCATCCTGGACACGTGTGTGGAAGCCTAGCACACCCAGGGATTCCATTTTGGCTCAGCGAGGCCTAAATAATGCAGACTTGGGGCCATTAATTTGGAATGTGATGGTGAAAAAGCGATGGACAAAAGTCAGCTTCCCCAAGAACTCTTTTCCTCCTCCTGTCTCACCTCCCTGTGGGAACTTCCCGAGTACGTAGGTCTTTTTCTGGTTCCCAGTGTCAGCCTGAGAGTTCTAATTCCTCTCTCTCTGTTTCATTCCTGAAGCATCAAATAGAAAATGAGAGACAAAATGTCCAGGCAGAGTTTAAAGAACTGAGAGCTATCCTGAACGATGAGGAGCAGAAGGAACTGCAAAAGCTGAAGGATGCGGAAGGAGGTATTCTGCGTAACCTGGCGGACTCTGAGAATGAGGTGGTCCAGCAGAGCCAGTTGGTGAGAGACCTCATCTCAGATCTGGAACAATGTTTGCAACGGTCAATGGTGGAGATGCTGCAGGTAAGACTGGGGAAGTAGCCCCAGCATCTGAGAGCTGAGACAAATGAATCCTAGGTTTCCATCTCTTCTGTATTGTTGTGTTCTTTCTGGTGTTGTCACCAAGGTTGCTTTGGCCCTGCAGTGCCCCTTCCCTGCATCTCGTCCGGGGGGTATAAGAATATCTGAATGAGTGAATTGAATTCAGGAATAACAAGAGGAATTTTTATTTTTTAATGTACCATGTTCAGTGCAAAAGTGTGACTGTGGAGCGAAGATTCACTGTCTTCAGTGATTTGCTGGAGGCCCCTATTATCTGTATCCAGTTTTAAGCATTTGTCAGATAGCTCTTCATGACGCAGCTTAGTCAGTAACAAATGCACTTTTGACTGCAAGATTTTTTTTTTCTCTCAATGTGTTGATATTTTTTTCTCTTTCTCTATTTCTGAAGATAATTTTTGAAGGACTGTTACTTATTCTTTAAATATTAATGGAATTCATTAGTGAAGCCATCTCACTCTGGCTTTTTCTTATAGGAAAGGTTTAAACTATTTTACCTGTATTAGGATTATTTCTATTTTTCACAGTCATTGAGTCAGTTTTTGTATGTCTTTGTAGGCAATTGTCTATTTTCAGTTTTCTTATTTATAGGCATAAAGTTCATTATAATAATCCTTTATTATCCCATTAATTTCTATTTTATTCACAGCAGTGTCCCCTCTTTTAGTCCTGAGTTTGGTGATTTTCTTTTTCACTTCTTTCCTCGTCAGTTTAGTTATGTTTTGTCAATTCATTGATTGTTTTCAAAACAAACTTATTTTTTATTTACTTTGTCTATTTTAACCTTTTCTTATTCATTACCTTCTGCTCTCACATTTGTTGTTTTCTGTGTGTGTGTGTGTGTGTGTGTGTGTGCTGTGTGTGTGTGTGTGCTGGTTCAATATGCAATTCCTTAGGTTCCTGAGGTGGGAATTTAGATGGCTGACTTGAGACCATCTCTTCTGATACAGTGTTTAATGATATAAGTGCATGTCCTTAGTTGTATTCCTCACATTTTGATTGTTTAGTTTTAATTTTCATTCAATTTCAACTTCTCAGACTTCCTTTGCAGTTTTTGGTTTTGTTCAACTTTGGATATTTTAAAGTGTGTTGTTAATTAGAAAATACTCCGTGACACATGAGTTTTACTTCTGCTGTTGATTTCAAATTTAATTCTGCTGTAATCAGAGAACATATATATTTTATTACTTTAAAACTTTTAGGTTCATTGACACTTGTTTATGGCTTAAGAACTTTATGTTCAGGAAAATTTTCTATATAGATTTGAGAAGATTGTGTATTCACACTTATTGGGTAAAATGGTCTATAGATGTTAGTTTGGTCAGAATGGTTGATAGTATCGTCCATGTCGTTTATAAATTTGATGGTTTCCATATAAGCTAGTCTCTCATTATTAAGAGTGAGATTTTGAAATGTGTAACTATTATTGAATCGTCCATTTCCCCTTTTAATTTTACTTTGTGTACTTTGAAGCTCTGCTGTTAGGTGCATATACGCTTACAATCATCATAACTTTTTGATATACTGAACCTTTTGCCATTATAAAATTTCTCTGTCACTCTCACATAATACTTATTGTCTTAAAGTCTATTTTGTCTACTATTTATATAAACACTTGACCTATCTCCTGATTATTGCTTGCATGATGTATATTTTTCTCTGTTTTTACTTTTGCCCTTTTTGTGTCTTTGAATCTAAAATAGGTCCCTTATAGATAGCAATAGTTGAACTTTGCTTTTTATCCAGCCCTACAATCTCTGCCTTTCAGTTGTGGTATTAATGCATGACATTTAATGCAGTTACTGATATGGCTTTGATTAAATTGACCATTTTCCTATTTGCATTCTATAGGGCTACTCTAGTGTTCATTCTTCTCCTTCTCCTTAACTAGCTTCTTCTGTGTTAAACGAATTTTTCAAGTATACAATTTCAAGTTGTCCTATTTCCTCACTGTATTTTTTTTTAAGCTTTTTTCCTAGCGGTTGCTCGAGTGATTACAATATGTCTCCTACCCCATCATGGGCTACTTCTGACCACACTAAGCTATTTCCAGTAAAAATGGGAACTTCCCTCAGCACTACTTCATTTCCTTTCGAAAACAACGCAGGGATGTTTTCCACATGGGCTGCTCGTCCTGTGTAGGCTCGTGCCTGCAGGCGTGCAGATTTTTTTGTTGTAACTGGGAGGAGAAGCTCTTTTTTCTTCTAGAGTTTATATGAGGCGATTCATGTTTCCTTCATGAGCTGAGAATAAAGTTAATATAAGGGGAATCAATAGAACTGGAGAAAGATAGAGACCTGATTCTGATGACAAAGTTTGAGCTTCATAATTAAAGTTTGAGTAAAGTTGTAACTCTCCCCCAGAATCATTTATCATTTCTTTACTTATTCTATATGTATTTGAGTTTTGTCATGTACAACAAAGGAGCCCTAATACAGAAAGAATTTTTTTCCAAAACCCAGCTATGGTCCTACTTTTTGGTGACACGAATTAAGTAAGTCTTCAGCAAAAGAGATCAAATATAGTGGTACATATATGTTCAAACAAGCAAAACAATATCTGTCGTGATTAAGAAGGTTAGATGGCTAAAAACTGTAAAGGATCTGGACTAAACTGACTCAGTAGAGACCAAAGTGCAGGTAAATTCTGGAGTTTTTAGGGCAGTGAGTGGGTATTGAGAACATGATGAAAATGGGGTATAAGGGGGGAAACAATTTGGTCAGTGAATGATGAGTAACATCTTAGACATTCTATGTCACTGATTCCTGCGGCTGTTTCACTACTGAATATAATAATATGCATTTAAGAGGCAAAATTGAATAAAAATAAAGAGTTGGAAATGAACTGCACATATGTGCATGCTGATTTTAAGAGAGTGGAAGGGGTCATTAACAGTGCATAAATTGAGAAGAGAGAGACCTCAAAAATGCCTACATTAATCCTTTTGCTTACTTGTACCCTCAACAAAAGCCTTATAAATAGTTTGGGGGAGATCAGGATTATGTATTCACCTTTGATCCTCCAAAGCCTTGGCAAATAACAGTCCATCACTTCACAGTTTTAGTGAATAAATGACAGTATTCAAATCACCTCATGAAGTATTCAAATCAACTCCTGGGCCATCAAATTTACAGGCCTCTTGTTTTTCCCATAAACATGTCTCA